AATAATAATAATAAAATTAAAGTGGGACAATTGTTGTTCCACCAAACTTCTACTTCCGTCAAACCTTTGAACAAGTTTGAGTTTTGTCCGACTGAACGCATAAAACATTATTACTTATTTTTTGATTTATTGCAATAAATTTACTTATATTTCAGAATATTTCAACCTTTTTTCCTTGGAGCTATGCTGAAATATTTCGAACCTTTTAATAAGAACAATACAAATCCGTAAGATAAAAATAAATTCATGCCTTGTTTTAAACTAAAAATTAATGTTATAATAATTAATTTTTAGTCCACGTTTCCCAATGTATTTGAATCGAATTTTTAACTATTGGACTTCAAATCAAAGTCCCATTCAAAAGAGCGAAATGTATTTTTTTGCATCTGGTATAATAGTTACTTCGTTCTTGCCTACAATAATTTTGCACCCGTATATGATGGGAGTGACTCATTTGGGAATGAAAATAAGAATAGCATGTTCTTCATTAATCTACAGAAAGGTAGGATTTTTTCCAGTGTTACAAAACATTTTTAAGTAAATACAATATTTAATCAAACCGAATTATTTTTAAAATAGGTACTCGCTTATAACGTTCCTTTATAACGGACCGGGTATAATGTACAATGACAACAAACTCATTGAGCTTTCACTAATAGTTATTATTACCGCTGTTACCCATGTACTTATAATATAAAAATACCTTCGAATAGGTACGTTATAACCGAATTTTGCTAGTGATGCATTTTCTATTAATGATTTACAGAAATCAGAAACAATTCAAAAGATTGTATCGCATCATGTATTTACCGTAAGGTACAATCCGTGTTCCCGATATTAAAAAAGTAGTTTTTTGGCTATTTTTGTGTCTTACAATTAAATAGATGGTGTTATGCTTTAGAATTTTAAAATCGAAATATTCCTGTTACTAACAACGTGTTAAAGATCATCGAAAATACAATAATTAGACAAATTTGTTCTCTAGTCTTAACCATCAGGACCATCAGAATAAAACTAAAGTTTCTAAGTTTGAATATTCAACATACACTTTACGTAAAATGACAGTTAATGCTGTTCTTTATCGAGATGAAAAGAATTTTTTTTATACATCGGGAACAGTATTTTTTTCTGGATAAAAAGTAGAACTGACAATGTGTGTATAAAATTTCATGATGATCGGTTAAGTAGTTAAAGGTGTGAAATGGTAGCAAACAAACTCACATTCGTATTTATAATAGTTAGGATTAATAAAAGCATTAAAATTGCACTTATGCATATCTTATCTTTTTTAACAAAGTTCTGATTGAATGTATCGAGTTTTACGGCGCCATTACTTGGTACTTGATCGAGTTTTACTGCCCCAATTAATAATGTCAATGATTTGATAGATCCGGTATCTGTCCGTATGTTACAGGTAACTATCCCAGCAACATATTCATAAAAGAATTTTCATTATCAGCATTTTTATTAAATAAATAAATTANATTATCAATTGGGTAGTTAAGGCGTGAAATCGACTACAATATTTTTTTCTGAATGAAAGGCACCCTATGTCCTTTTCTGTACCCCTGACAATGTCTCTACAATGTATCATGATCGACTGAGTATGTAGTTAAGGCATGAAATGGACCACATAAAACTACTTTTTATCTATCCTTCGAAAACAATATTTTTTCTAAATAAAAGAGACCCTATGTTCTTTTCTGTACTTCTGACAATGTGTGTACAAAATTTCATGATAATTAGTTGAGTACCTAAGGCGTGAAAAGACGACAAACATACATTCGCTTTTATAATATTAGTAAGGATGGGATCTTTAGCGCGGCATAAGTTTTATTTCACATGCAGTTAACTTTGTTTAACATCATAATCGTATCCTAAAATATGGTGATTTAGCATTTATTAACTTTACTTTCAAGAAGAAGCCTATAGTTGAATTTAAAATTGGCATATACATATTAGAACGGTTCTTCTTGATACAAAAATAATATGGAAAAAAGGTAAAAGTACGTGAAGAACCCAATTGACGTTGCTTTAAACAAATTTAATTAAGAAATAAAAATTATACTGCATTAAAGCCCGTATTTTCTATAAAATAAACAAATAAATTTAAATCATCTTCATCATCATCATAAGGTCGTCAGTCCTAAGACTGGTTGGACTGTTGGACACGTACCTCCACTCTTTCCTATCCTGACCTAATATTCGCATTTCCCTAAAACTAGAACAACCCCAATCCTAACTGCTTTTAATTGATAATATTTTACGTCTGAAAATTTTGAATTTTTTTTTTTTGAAGGTAGTGGTTTTCCGGGGGAACAGGATTTCTTTTCCTGATAAAAGGTACCCTACATACCTTTCTGTACCCCTGACAATGGGGGTAAAAATTTCACGAAGATCGATGGAGTAGTCGTAAGGCGTGAAATAGACCACATAAAACTAATATTTCTATTCCTCGGGAACGGTATTGTATTCTGTTAAATTGTATCCTATATCCTTTTTTGTACCCCTGACAATTGTGTACAAAAATTCATTAAAGGTTTAACTGCGGCTTCGCTCGCGTTGATGTCCTAGATACGCGTCAAAAATCAACAACGACCACATAAAATTAATTTTTATATTCCTTGGGAACAGTATTTTTTCTGGATAAACAGTACCCTATGTCCTTTTCTGTACCCCTGATGATAATCAAATTTCATGATGATTGATTGTGCAGTTAAGGCGTGAAATCGTAGTAAACAAATTTACATTCGCATTTATTAATGTTAGTTAGGAAAGGAAGGATTTTATCTATTATCTAAATTATTTAATTAATAAAAGAAACTGGTAATATGTATTACCATTAATTCACTCATACTTACTAAGAAATTTTTGCCTAAAAAATAGTAAGTAAAACTGTTAAAGATCAGGGGTGAAACAAAACAGACGCTAAATATTAAAGATCCAATTAAAAACGACAAAGTTTTCAAAACAATAACGCCGTCTTCTAAATTTTTGTATTTTGTCTGGTTTTTAATTTATTAGGACTATTTTGCTTTACTAACAATTTTTAAGAATTTCACCAAATTAAATTTCGCAGATGTTTCGTGCAAATAATTACATTTACATTTTTATCTGCAAAACTATCAATATCTTCTCGGTAAATTATGTAATTCGCTTTAACGTTTGTTGTACTTATTTTAGAAATTACCAGCTGTATATCAACAATGTAGCAGATTTATTTTACTTGCCATTTTTATTTCAACCTGTCTAAATTTGGACAGTACCCTTGTCGGTACTGCGTAGCACTTTCCACCATGACCTATCCTAAACCCTTAGTGCGTTACATTTAATATTTTTTTTTTATAATTCTATAATTGTAAAATAAACATTTAACCTCCATTTCACCCCTTTAGGGGTTGTGTTTGAAAACTCATTTTGGAGCGGATGTTACCATTGTATGAGGAAGTTTTGTGCAAAATTTTAAGCTTCCTAACTCAGCGGATTGGGCTGAGCTTTGGTCGATGCATCAAATTTTTAATTTCTTTTTTACAGTTTTTGAAAATTTCATTCTTAATGCTCGCTTATGTTGTATAAGGAGCGTCTGTACAAAATTTATAACTTCATTAATCTCTTGCATTTTTGTATAATCATTGAAATACTCAATATAATATTATAAATGTATCCAAACATATAAAATTTTCATTTAATTAATGGTGGAAGGCTTTACTTGTTGAAACTCCATAATCAATTAAAGGAAACGAAAGTAAAGTTTCAAAAATAAATATTAATTGTTCACAACAATTGTTTCACCATCACATTGGTTTCTCAGGTGAAGATATTCACTGTTCAATGTTATGGTGAACAATTAGTATACATTTTTGAAACATTACTTTCGTTTCCTTTAATCTAAATATTTAACAACTGAACTGTCAGTACTTATGGGTATTTGAGTGACAACAATTAAGTAATTTGAAAAAATTTGAGATGGGAATTAACTTTTCGACGGACAAAATCGACTTTTTAAAAATTTATTAATATTAATTACAAGAAA